GGGGGCGAGGATGCACGTGACTATCACACAGGTGGATTTATCAAAACATCCCAGGACTAACGGAGACTTCCAGGGAAAATGATACCCACCCCATCCTTGACCCCTGGTACCATGGGAGACAGCTCTCCCTTGCCTGGAGCACAGGCAGCACCCCCACCCCTGCCCAAACTTGGAGGCTCTAAAGTTGGGCATTGCTCTGGGGAAGCAGCCAGGTAAGATCAACTTTGATGAGGCCCTTCCTGTCCGAGGCAGGCGTGGGTTAGTGCCTCTGTGGGACTGGAGCAGCGGCTCGCTGGTGACATCCTGTGTCCCCGCAGCAATAAACAGGCGCTTGGGAAGCGAAGCTTGTCCAGATGTGGGCAATGGTTTCTTACCACGGGATCATGGCAGCCTGAAGAGATGTGTTTTAAGAAATTGGTAGATAACTGGGACTTTATCATTCTGTCAAGTTAAAAAGCTTCCTGACCCAACTGTTCATGGATGTCATTCATTTGGGTATCCACCCTCTATGACTTGGTACTTTCTTTAGAGTGGTGTGATGAAACTCTAGACCCGACAGCCTAATCTGGCAAAGAGGCTTTCCGGTCATTTATCCAGTGCAGCGGTTCTCAACCTGTGGGTCGCGACCCCTTTGGCGGTCGAACGACCCTTTCACGGAGGTCGCCTAAGACCATCCTGCATATCAGATATTTACATTACGATTCATAACAGTAGCAACATTACAGTTATGAATTAGCAACGAAAATAATTTTATGGTTGCATCACAACATGAGGAACTGTATTTAAAGGGCCAGAAGGTTGAGAACCACTGATCCAGTGGCTGCCATGGGCCGGTCATTAGATTAGGCACTTTAAAGACATTGAACCATCCCAATATCATAGCCACACGCTGTGGGAAGTGTTTGCAAACCCCTTGTAGAGATGAGGACACGGAGGCTCAGAGAGGCTAAGTAAGTTACTCAATGGCACACAGCAAGAAAGTGGTAGAGCTGCTATTCAAAGCCTGTCTGACCAAAGTCTGCTTTCGACTTTGCTACAATGCACCCTTGAGTGTGTGTGTTTGTGTGGGGGCGTGTGTGTGTGCACGTGTGTGCGTTCTGTGTGTGTATGTCTTTCTAGTTTCATGGACACAGCACACAGAGGTGGGGAGAGCTCTACTACCAAGAGCATACATGGTCTTTGTGTTAAAATGGCCGCAAGTGTTGGCCTTGCAGAGTGATTGTACGTTCTTTCGGCTTTGATTGCGGGAGTCCTGTGTGTGGCACCCTTTCTGTATGGTTAAAAATGCCCTTTGAAAGCACTCTTTTGCACTTTACTCACCTACCTGGCAGAAACTCTGCAGATAGCAGGAATAAACAAGTCACAGCACCAAGGTGCACACTTGACCAAATGGAAGAGGTGATGGTGTGTGCATGGACGCTTCCCCAGGTGCGTTAAATCACAGTAGTATAAAGGGATTGCAATGGCCCTTGACTGAGAGTGGGAACAGCCCCCATGTATGTAACCCTCTCCCTGAGGACAACTGAGGCCAAAACCCTGATGAACAAAATCAAAGACAAGCCCTCCTCTAGGGAGCTGGAACTAAACACATGTGGGCAAAGTGTTTGACAAACTATAATGTGGTCTCCAAAGGAGACGCTGAGAGGGAATAAGAGGTTGGACTCCTCTTCGTGGGGGGTGGCCAGTTATTTTGAAGTTGTTTGAATATTACTTTTCAAAGGTGGGGTCAAATAGCACGTAGAAAACATGTGGATAAGGCAAAGCTGCTACAAAGTCTTCACGCCCATCAGCACAGCCCTGCCCTTCCAACCGCCACCCCAAACTCCACTATAAACCTGGAATGGACTTGTTGACTCTGCACACAGACAGGGCACCTGTTCAGGGTCTTTAGCTGGCAGTGTCTTTTGCTTGACCTGGTAATTAGGGCCTGACTTTTTCTTCCAAAACACATCTGGAGGTTTACTGGTGAGAGCCAAGGGTTAATTTGAAGAGACTGAAGCTCAATACGCAGTCCTAACCCAATTGGGGCTCCAGAAATTTATCACTTTGGGGGTCAGGCCTCAGTGTGTGTGTATAGGCAGGAGTGTCCCTGGCCTACAGTTAAGGTGAGTGGGACTATCTGGTTGTGCTCTACCGGTCCCAGCCTGGGATTGTGGGGACCCCTGTCCCCTTGCCAACATCTCTGTTACCTCATCAGCACATCTGGGGAGTTAAACAAGATCACTGTCAAGGTCCCTTTTAGTTCTGCAGTTCTCTGACCAACAGTCCCTGGTCTACAACCTAAATGTCTTAAGCATGCGTATTAGCTGGATTTGTGAACACTGACTAATGGCTAACGTGAGAGCTTAATCTCCTGCTCTTTGGGATTCGTGTTCTGGATAATTGATGGAGACCAGATGCATCTGAGAGTCTGCTGTCCAAATTAGGAGTGTGCCCTGTTGTAGGCTCCGTCTACAGCACACCATCACCTGGAGGGCTCATTGCTATGCGGGCATTTTTTGCATGGTGTTAAGACTATTTGAAGAATTTTAAGCTGTTGCTATTTGCAGTCAATTGTAGTCAAGGTTCCTCTTGGTTACTTCAGGAATTCACTTACTATAGACATCTCTTGCTCAAACACACACACGTACACACACATGTGCACACGCACACACAGGAAATGGCGACCATTTCACACTGAACGCCCCCATTGTGCTAGACATTAGCAAACCGCCCCCTTGCCTCTCTCTGAGATGATATCATTTCCTGGCTGAGTCCATGCCATTCATCTATCTGTGGGCTTGGCTTTGGGGAGAAATGAGAGTGTGGCCAGCATGTGGGCAGGGCAGGTTTTTACTCACTGGACGGGGTAAGAATGTAGACCATCCAGTGGGCGCCCTGGTGTCCGAACCAGTGGGAAGGCCTAGGAAAGCAAACGAGTCTGCAGAGACTTTGAAGAAAGAGAGAAGAAAAAGCCAGTCCTGCATTTCACGTCCCTGCGTTCTGCATCCTGCTCACATTTCCAGGGGCGTCACGCCTTCTCACAGTGAGGGTGCAATTGTGTGCAAAGAAGCCACTGCATGAGTAGAGGGAGTTTCTGGGGGTAGAAGAGCGAGTTAGTCACGGCCTTAAAAAAACACGAACGGTAGCTCTCAGAAGCAAAGGGGACTTTACTTCGGCATTGTAGGTTCGGTTAATTCTGCACAAGGAAACTTGGCAGCAGCGGGCCCATGGCGTGGCCGTCCAGAAAGCCCTGCCCCCTGTCCCGGCACCATAAACCAGCTGCCCCGGACCTCACCCACAGGTCCCCCCTCCAGGTGAACTCCAGTCCCCTCCCCCCAGGGCGGGCCCCAAGTCACCTAACATCAACACAGCGGCATGGAGGAGAAATGAGAGCTGTCTGATTTAACTGAGCATCACCATTATCACAGGTGCCTAAGAGATTTGGAATCTGCTTTCTGTTCTCAGTTCTTAAGAGAAAAATCTCAAGTAGTTCCCTGTGCTTTAAAAAAAAAAAATCCTTGCAAGGACTCCCGCTCCATCACAGACCTGTGCTGTAGCCGGTAATTGACAAACCTCTCCTTTGGGGTCAGGGCGCCCAAGCTTGAAGGGAGAAGAGATATGCAAACCAACCCACATGCCAACCTCAGGCCTCTTTCCCGTCCCAGAGTCACAGGCAGGGGATCCGGTGACGACGAAGGCGACAACGATAAACCCATGAGTGGAGGTGTCTCACCTATTTTACTCTCTAGGATTTCATGGTGCTTTAAAAAAAAAAAAAGGCATTTTACAGAAAATAAGGTGGGGTCGGGGGAGGAGGGAATTTCGTAATGTTCTTAGAAAAAGTACAAAAGCACATTTGCTTGTGACATTTCAATACGCCGTGCTGCTACTGTCTTTATTTGATGATGTATTTTTTTTTTTCAATGATGGAGAAAATTGCAACAAAGACCTTCTGGAAGATCCAATCCAATGTCTCTCCTGTTTTCCTTTCTTTTGTGGGGGCCGAGTGCGGGTGATAGCGGATGGGTTGGAATCTGCACTCGGGACCACGTCCCTCCCCGTCCTGGGGACAGGCTTCTAGCCTGGCTGGGCACTCACACGTGTTCATCGGGCAGAGCCTACGAAAATTCACAGTCTTGCAGGCACAGGAGCCCGCCACAGCCCAGTAAGAGCACCTTAACACAACCCCGTATTGTAGTTACTTGCACCTCCTCCATAGTTTTATTTGATCCTGATTGGATGTCCCCGGAGGTTGCACAGCACAGTGTCACACTAGGCGAAACGCTAATTTTGGACATTGTGACAAGCCTGCCCATGTAAAATGAACGCCCCCCACCCCCACCCAGGTGCCCACATTTCCAAGCTGTATTTGGTTTTGCCCTCTGCCATGCGTCCACCGGCCCTGGGCTTGGAGTAACGCGTCATACAGAGAAAATGCCCACCATTTTTGAGCACCTACTACGTATGAGGGTCTGCGCTACACAGTTTAC